TATTCAAAAATAAATACTCTATGAAGAAATAATGCACGCTTATTATAAGAAATAACAATGAACGTAAACGTGAATTTTTAATGTGAATATTGACTTGCTTGTCAGTAGATACAAACTGTCAAAACAGCAATTTTTATCAAACAAATAGACTTTTCAACTTAACTTGAATTATTGACTTATTGAACATTTCGATATGAAAACTTCAAAAAAGAGATCATATTAAATCTACTTTAGTGTGGGTTTTGGAGGGTGGGGGGTGGGGGGAGGAGGCAATTAAAAAATACTATGCTATTGTTTAACTTTACATAGCTCGAAATATATACAACAGAATAAAATATCAAATAATGAACAAAACACTCAAGTGTACGCATATTCATGTGATAATACGGCCAAGTTAATACAAAATATGGAAATCGAAAGTAAAAATGTATTGTAACAAATAGGCCGGCTATTGTAATATTGGCATATTAGCCACTGCCATTTTTAACAGTGGGCTGCTGAACAAATAATTTCATAAATAATCACTAGAATTTGCCACCTAATAGAGGAGATATTAAAAGGGACCATTATATCTACAAGGGCCATAAAATGCCATCTTTTTCTCTATTATAATTGAAATAAAGTGAAAATGACGCTTCATTTAATAAGCAAGGCAAAGATCCAAGGGAGGCACGAAATCCCACGTCCATGTAAAACGCGGTTTCCGTATTGCACAGGTCCGTCCGAATGTCGCGTGGATTTTCGTATGTTACTTAAGCACAGATGCACGTCGCCGAAATGAATACATGGACACGCGCACGCTCGTGACAAAGTTTTCCTCGTTCTGCTAATGAGACAGTCTATAAACGCTCAAAGAACTTATCGCCAACAAGTTCATAGACGTAGCGTTTGAGAAGACAGCACTTGAGCGTAAATAATCATTCGAAATTAGTGTTCCCAAGAATCACAACGAGTCCTGGAAGATATATTTGCACCGCTCCTAATGAGCGCCATTTAGGGTGCGGTGTCACCGATTTCCACATTGAGGAAATCTCTACCGGTTATCGTTTCTCCCGTTCCGGTTTTCCGGAATGCTTTTCACGTCCCTTCGACCACGTTTCGAAAAGCTGACGTGCCATCACTACGAAAACGAAAAACCGAACGAATCGAAAAAAAAGGGAGAAACAAACAAAGCGGATTCACGTACGTGCGTGCCGCGCGAAACTTTAATATCGGCCGCAGCCCCTCGCGATTCATCGGCCGAATGCAATTTTCCACGTATGCTAAAACATCTACCCCATAAGTGAGGTCGACACACACCCTCGTATGCGTCCCATATACATTCCGCGCGAGAAAATGAAAATCGAGTTCGAGCAATCTCTCATTTTTCTCTCTTTCTCTTTCTCTCTCTTTTTCTCTGTCTTATTCTTTCTATCTCTTTCTTTCTGCATGTGAGACCTCTTATCGTATCGTATGTAAATCTTACTGGGTTTGAAAACGTCCTGAGTAGAATTAATTGATCGCCGTATCGTATTTTCTTTACAAAAATCCTACCTTTCGTATTTAGAGGGACTGAAAAGTAGAAATGTGCAAATCAAAGACTTTTGATGCCGAATGGAATTTCATCTAAATCGAATCGACTAAAATCGAATAGTTGAAACACGACATTTAATTAACAATTTAATTAACAACCATCATCATTGAATTAAACATGAGGATAATGAGGGAAGACATTATGAAAGGGATAACATCGATCTTGTGATATCGATTCATTTTGAAGTAAAATATATATATTTAAATATTTAGAACAAAATTGATATTAATCAAATATATTTTATTTAGGACAGCAATAATTGAAACAATCATATATGAAGGATCATAAATCAATTACTAAAATACTTTGAAGAACGTTGACATTATCAGCCGTTTACAATCAATGCAGAAACTGATAAATTTCAACTCATTAATTTAATTTTATTAAAAAATCATAAAATTTACTTTTCATAAAATTTATTTATTAAAAACAATTTCACAAAAATATATAATATACTCCGCATCAATACGTATGCACATCGACAAAACTCATATCAGAATAATTACAAATTATAAAATTAATATCGCTATATATAAAAGCTAAATTTAACGTTTATACCAAATGATTAAGAATTATCATTAATGTCAGCGCTTTTCAATTATGCACAGATCCATTTGATATCATGAAAATTTATTTAAACACGCAAATTTTAATAATATCTCCCTTGTCGATGTCTTGAGTTACTCTTTTAAATATTTTTAAAGAAGATCTTAACCTACAGCGAATTTTTAAAATCACGCCAATTCCCGTAAAGCTGGACGTCTTTAATAGTACTTCGTCAATTCTAATGGGCATGATTCATATTCGAATTTCTCGATACGAAATTTTCGAATTATTCGAATTGAACCTCATTTGATTCGAATAGTTCGGATAATTCTATTAAAAAACTCCCGAATGTTCTCCGCGAAATTTATCTAATTCCGTTTTTCCTCTTTCCGAGTTTCTTTTAGAAACAAACGCTGCTCTGTATCAAAATTTTATCTTGTCCATTTACCCGATTGTTTTCGAGTCACGTTTTTCCTATTCGGTTTTAATAAAGGATAAATGGTAAATATTTTTAACGTTAAAAATAAAGTCGCGTATTAAAAATTTACGGTTCTTTTTTCGAGATCCTTCTGCAGCATGCAGAACCTCGAAAGGCTGCGGGGAAAAGTCTTAGTAGACGTATTACCGGCGAGCGACTTCTCCCAAAACGGAGGGCATTTCACGTTTCGGCAATTTAAGCGGAATATTCGCAGCGGAGACGACATAATCCCATAGCGTAACGGTATTTCCGCGCTTTTAACGGTTGAAAAAAAAAAAGATGATGGAGTCGGCGAGCGCTTTACGAACGTAGCGGGGTGTACATTATAACACAAAAATATGATTACCGTTGCCGCGCCGGTGGAATCCTTAAAAGAACGGAGATATATTAATTTACGCAGCGCGCGCCAAAAGTGATTTTAAAGTGTCATTAGCGCGGCCGTTCGTTATAACGAAATTGTAATTATCTGCCCTCCCGTATCTATCCGACGTTCGTTTCTTCGGAAAAGCACCAGCTCGATTTGTCCCCCGTCCGCATCGACGTTCGATACCGAATTAAAATATACGCAAGCTTTGGACATATTTGCTCGAAAAAAATGAAAACGCGTGCCGTCGAGAGGTAAATTTATATTTGAATCGAGCGCACGAGGATTCTCCAACCGAGCTCGCCCGCCAGGGGAGTCAAATTTTCCTGAACGAGAATTGAACGAACCGTCGTTCTTCCTAATAATCGGCGAATATTTAAATTTCAATATGCGCATCTTCGTTGCCAACTACATGAATGAAAATTCTGTCGAGGCAAAATCAAATAACTTGAAATCACAGATATGAAATATCTACCTACCTACACCATTGAAACCTCGCTAAATTTACCCACTTTTTTGTCTAATTGCACGAAAGGATCAATTTGTCAAGTCGTCTGTAATATCAAAGAATATACCGTTAAATTTAATTCGATAGCAGTGAAGAGCGCCTAGTATATTTCACGAATTATCGAAATCGTCGTTCTTAAGCAAACTGTAACGTATCTATTTCTACGAACCTGACCGAGTTATCCGGTACGTGACTACCAGCTTGGATAGATTTCCGGGTGTTATTTCGATTGATCTATGTTTCCTCAGCGAGCACGCGTAACGATTTTCACGTCGAAAAGCTTATGTTAGCGTGGTTCATGATAACATAGATGAGCGATAATCCGGAAAATTCGAAGATGAGGATTTTTCAAGAAAATCTTTTCACCTTAAAAAAACCTTGTGGATAGACATAGCTAATACGGCTCGTCGTAAAATATACGATTTAGAATACAAGGCAGTCTTTCTCTTCAAATGTCTATACTAGCTAGTATAAAAATGTGTAATATTAAGAAAGAATATTTCTCTCTTTCTATTCGTTTTAATCTTTAGCAAATGTACTATATACTTCAGCTATTTATTTTCATACTCACTTTACAAGTTGAAGAAATGTGGAAAGAAATAAACTTGGAGATTCAATAGACTTATTTTTTCAATAAGAATGCTACGTTCAGATATTCGCTCACGCCCATTGAAAAGATAAATCTATTTTGCCTCTAAGTAGTTCTCTCTTTTTTTCTTTCTACACGTTATTCACGTATATCGTTCACAAGAATCCGACACGGTCGTCCACGGGGCGGAAAAGGATCCATGAAAGTATCTTCGCGGCTTCTAACGGCAGTCGCACGTAAACAAGTCTGCGAGTACAATACACGTGCTCGTCACGTTAAGTCTCCTTGTTATTGCCACTTTTAGAGCATTTCAAACTTTGATGCATGCTAATACCGACACGCTCCTATGATATACGATAGCAAGAGTAGCTCTTGTGAATTGTCGGATTTATGCGCCGCATGCGTGAAATTACACTCGGATTCGTGAACGGAAGTAGGTATTTTGAAATGGCTAATGGAGTGAGAGAGAAAGAGACAATTGGGTTGTTGAATATTTTCGAAACCTATTTCCGTCGACAAAACAATGAAAAAGGTTGGTTTGCGCTTGTTGGATTACAAAACATGGCACACCCGGAAATTTCAATAGCCAACATTCATTCATTCTTCTAAAGAGAAAGAAAGATAATTCGCTAAAAATATTTAATAATAAAAAGGAATACCTCATCATTGAATATTTTATAAACAGAAGAAAAGTAGACAAGTATTAACCGTATTTTATAAACAGAAGAAAATTAGACAAGTATTAATCATCGTTGTAACTCTCTTAATAATTGTGCAAAATTTAACAAAGAAGATTAAACTTCGTCTCGACGAACCCTACGGACATTTGTAACTCGATAAAGGGGAGGGAAATAAAAGCCTCGATTAAGTAACGAACACGACCGAGCAGAAGCTCTAATGATCGTTGGACTAATCTCTCATCTTTACAAATCTCTGTTTCAGCCCAAGAGGCCTCGGGAACTGACAACATAAGCCCGACCCCATAGATCTTGTCGAATTGCGGAACACCTCAAGAACGACCGCCAGTGAGATACAACCGTAAGAAATCGCCGAAAATAATCGACGTGCCGTCCGATCGATCATGAAAAATAAAATGAAAGGCTCATCATTCTCTTCTTTCCGCTCCCGTACTGACCAAGTATATAAGAAACGGATATAAGTTAGTAACTATGATAAAACTATTTCTGATGAGAGCTGAAAAATCATTGATAAAAGTCGCGTATAGTCAGTCATAAAAAGATTGCAATACTTTTTCTTTTTTTCATAAGTTTCGGCATCCCGTGTCCAATTTGTTTTTTGGTAATTCTCAGGAGATACATTTTCCTGTTGGGCACACAAAGAAAAAGGTTTCGTTGGACTTAATATCTCGTGTTTGTTTAATATAAACAACATAACTTAATATAAAATATCTTTTTTGTTTGAATGAAAATATTGTTTCACTAGAGTAAACCATTGTTGTGTGATAGACTGAAAAACAGTATTATTTAGAGGAAATAACGTTTTATCAAAAGAAAAATTTATTTATATTAAAATATCAAAATTATTCCACCGCAACACAAAAAAGGAGTTCTTTAGTAATTCTCTAGCATAGTTACTTCATTCAAATAATTTATTACTTGCGACAACCATTATAATTTTTGAATGAAAATACAAAAAAAATATGTCATTTGATGTAAAGAAATATTTGTAATTTGAGAAAGAAAATAATCCTGTTTACTGAATAAAATATTCATTCATTTGTTCCATTCCGAAAGAAAAATTTGTTTCAATTAAAGTAATTTTATTAAATCCAAAGAAATCTTTTTCTCTGAATACGAAATGCGAAACTCATCGAAAAAAAAAACGCATTGCAACTTTCTTGTGAGTGAGAAAAAATACTTAGAAATTTATGTATAGGTTATAAGGTTTATTTCATGGAAATAAGGTTTAATTCTACTAAATTTTTAAGTACTTTCTCCTCAGTGTGTGATTAGCCATATTCGATATTATTTATTTGGCAAAAAATGATTTGTTTGGTAATAAAATGATCCAGTAGAAAGAACAAGCTATACTAAGAAATCCATTTAGTTCACTCCAACTAAATTCTGGTTTGAACATGGATAAACAAATGTTTTAAGAATGTTTTAAAAAAGGGTTATTAGAAACAAGATTTGGTTTCTCTGAAACAAGAATGAAAAAGATTTGGTTCATCAAACTTTGGTTCTTATAACCAAAACATTTGTTTGCCCATATTCAAGGCAGAATTTGAGTCAACTAAATGATTCTCCGATTGTGTAACCGATTAATCGGCACGCGGTCAAACGTCAATTATCCTCGGCGATATTCCCAGTTTCCGTACGGGCGTGCGGAACACGACGACGAAAGAGGTAGACGACACTCGCGACGGAACGACGCGTTAACCGGAAATCATGCGTCTCCTGGTGGACGCCGATAACGACCCCGTACGCAGTATCGAGGATGAATCGCTGGACAGCGATGTTGGCTCGCGCGGATGTAGCGGCAACGGCAGTAGCGACAGCGGCGGAATCCGCGACGGCGGCGGCTACGCCTACGACCGCGGCAACGGCAGCGATAACGGCGCCAGCGACGATTTCTGGGCATGTACGTCTTCTATCCGGCGGACGAGCTCCTGCGTATCTATGAGAATCGGGAGCCACTGACTGTCAACGACAACGCAGCGGTGAACGCCGATTACGAAGAGACCGATCATTATTATCAGCAATTGCAGCAGCAGCAACGAGCCGTCGTTGCGAACGGTGACAACGGTCACAAACGTAAGAAGGAGAAAAAGCGCGAATCTAGTCAGACACCGGCCAGAAGGCAGATCTGCGCTGGTCGTAACGACAGCAACGGCGGTGGTGACAATCTCGGTAAGAAAGGACGACGCGAGGAGCACCACGCCGGGACTATGCAAAATAATCGTGCCGCCGGCGAAGAGGCCGCCAACCCCCTCAAGGACCTCACGCAGCCGAGTCTCAACGAGCCGCTCAAGCAGCACAATGGCGCTGCGCTTAAGCTCGTGCAGACGGGTAAGTGAGCTTCCGGTTGTGCGCGGAATTGAGCTCTTCCTCCCTCTCTCTTTCTCCGTGTATGTCAAATGCGTCTTCCCGCGCTATTTTATCGCGTCTCCACTCAAGCGCTAATATATTTGCGCGCGGCTCTCGATTATCGTAGCGGCAACGTGTATTAGCACGACGGAGCAACAACTGAATTCAAAAGCTGCGAAAAATTGATCGATCGTGGCGAAGGCGACTCAAATTATTCGTACACACGTGACGCACATAGCCCGCGCGAGCTCACTCGTGCACCTCTCGTTGGCAACTCCAAACTTCCACCTGAGTTAGCGTATTACGTGTCTCGACTTGGCACAAGTTTAATACTCGCCTAACGAAGACGGTTGGCGGTTTACGTCGCTGAGATAGACGAAGGGGACGACTTAATTACGAATCTCATCGTAGCGATAAGAAGACGATGTAAATTATTTCATATTCCGCCGTATTTCTCTCGAGCCCTCCGACCCGAATGTGGAAATGAAAAAATGTCGACTTGCATGGATTAGCACACATGCCTCGAATTTCCCAAGCAGAGCAAAGTCATAGCAACAAAGTCAAGATGACGTCAAAGAATAATAATCATTTATAGAAAATCAAAATGGTGTCATTTAATGCCTTAAATAGAACAATATAATTTAACTTTTTCGTAACTGCATTATGACTTGTCCTTGAATGATTTCCTTACTTACGGGACATTGAAGAACGCCCTTAAGTCCTCCTCAACTGTTTATATTTTTTCTAAGACTACGTTCCGATATTCACTTCCAATACTGAAAATTTATGTTCATGTTACGTTTGCAGATTTTTAATATTGGCAGTGAATATTGGAACGCGGCCTGAAAATATACAACAGTTCCTTACAAACAAATGGCTATTGTAAAAAAAGTTTTGTTCTTGCATTTAGAGTTATAGTAATTTTAATTTGTAATTTTAAGCTATATATAGACAAAATTGTTTGTAATTACAATAAATAGAATATTGTTTGCATGAACAACTTTGTACATAGCTACTAACATATGCAACTTAAATATATCAAACAGTTTATTTGAAGAGAATTAAATCTGTAAATTCTGAAGTTATAATGTTATCAATTTTCTATCATGATCAAAAAATGACCTTTGGAAATCATTTTATCGTCTTGACGTTATTGTGACTTTTTGTTCTGCTTGTTTACGATTAGAAATTGTCATTAGATATACTGGGATCATTTGGTCTTGAGTCTTCTATCTCTTTGTTTACTCAGTCCAATCCGATACGTCCATCTAAGTGGGGCATTGTCAATGCCCCTTAGTATATTATGACTTTAGTATATCATCCTAATATATTATTTTACAAAGTTTTACTGATCAAGTCCTTTTCGGAATCTTACTCACTTTATCTAATATGACTTGCATTATCAGAGTTTCTAATACAGACCTTTTATAACAAATTTAGTATATAATAGGTATGATTAGTAAACTTTATTTTTATAATTTTTTCTTTAAAAATATTTGTTGTTCTTGCATTAATAAAGTCGAAAATTGTCTAATTCTAACAATATTTGTGCTTCGATTTATATTTTTTACATATTTTTTACTAGTTTAGCACTCCATTATAAATTCTAATTTAATCATAACCTTTTTCATTATCTGAAGTAAGATGTGAGAGAAACTCAATAGTGTAACCAGATGAATACATTATAGTGAGCCTTAATTACTATACAGCGTTACATAACTTCTTAGGAGCCGATAATATAACCTTAGATGGATCCGACAACCAGTTAAGGTCAACCCTAACTGAACCATAAGGTAAATTTCTAGTCGGGTTTCTCGGTACGCGGATATCTCACTGTTGTCGTTGGACGCAATGAAATGACGATGGATTCGCAATCGATCTTTCCTGGGCGAAAATGTTCCAGTTCTCGTTATTTGACACGCAATTTATTCTAGTTTAATATTAAATACCTACGGAACTAACAGCTAAATTGAAATTCTGCCATGGTAAGACGCACTCGAAATTAAATGAAGAAAGTTTTATTATCCATCTTGCCTCCTCCTCCCTTTGCTCTCTCTGACGAGAGGCCATTTATTTTCACACACTTACGACTCGTAAGCTATTAAATCTCCGACATTTTATTATGAGAATTCTTGTCTCCAGTTTCCATTGGGGAAATCTGCTATTAAGGGCAGAAAAAAGCAGGACGCTTTCTATACAATGAGGAGGATATATACATAAAGGCCCTAAACTTCGGTTTAGTACCCTCTTATTTAATGTGTCACGCCGTGAGCAGCTGTGCGAGAAGTTCATGACTGACGTGTGATTAATTTGATCCACCGGCGCTCGTTATCCGCGAACGTCCTTTCGCGAATGCTACCCTCAAATAACTCGTCGTAGGTAGACCTTTCTTTACATCTTACCGCCCCCTAGTCGACGATTGCTGGTGCATCCTACGTGTAGCGTAACGGGATGAAGAGATGAAGATTAATTAGCAGGTAGGAAGTTGCCGGCGAGCCTATTAGCTCGCTGAACCCCGAGCTATCGGTCTTTGTCACTCACTTCTCCTATCTCTCCTATCGACCTCGATTTCCGATCTGTCGTTTCATCATGGAACTTACGTGTCTCCCTCTCATTCAGGCATAAGATCCCAATAAGATTCGATCGTGACGAGCACCTTCGAGTCTAGTGGTGAAATACGTTCGAATTGCGGACTACCGAACGCACGTAATTCATTCACTTCTACACCCAGCCTTCACGCAGCCGTAAACTGAAGTCGTAAACTGATAAAGATGCGAGATATCCCGACTGGAAATTGTCATTAGGTATAGCTGATATTGTACAAGGTTCTAATTAGGCGAACGCCAGGTATTCCTTACTATGATTAACCTAATCATGTACTGATAAAAGTTGAATAAGGAAAACTATTGTAAAGTTATGATGATTAGATACATATCAAGATCTTAATGTATTATCCTAATATATTATTTTATAAAGTTTTATTTATCAGGTCCTTTTCGAGATCTTACACATTTTACTTGTAATAACTTCCATTATCAGTTTCTAATACGGACCTTTTGTAACAAACATAGTATATAGTGGATGTGATTAATAAACTTTGTTTTTATAATTCTGTCTGTAAAAATACTTCTTTTATTTCAGTTTATACCGGCAGATTTTTATTTCAAGTTATAAAAAAGTTTCGTAATAAATTCGCATATTATATATAAAATTGAATTAAACTGCCATTCACATATCGACTGTCCATTTTTTAAAAACTTATTATATATAGGGTGTCCGAAAATTTTCGGTACATTCGTAGTGTACAGATAAAACGGATTACACTGAACAGCAAGTTAAACTGAAAGTTATGTACTACCTTGCAAAATTTGCAATAATTATTAAGTAATTAATTAAATCGTCTGAGCGAATGAATATACAGGAAGCGGAAGCCATCATTTTTTATATATGCTTACAAAGTCCGGCTAACCGCTTCCTTCTCATTAGTTCAGACAATTTAGTTAATTACTTAATAATTATTGCGAATTTTGCAAAACAGTACATGACTTTTTTGCTCATTTTCATCCAATTAACTTTCACATTCTGGCTTAGCAAAAAAGTTTTAAATACTCGGTATATGCAGAGTCACTTAAATTTAGAAGGCAAATATATAAAAAATGAAGCAAAATAGAAAGAAATGTTCCTAACAAAAGTCGTAGGGTTTGAATAGGAATATAAGCGAATGATCTTAACTTCATTGTATAATCAATAATTCAAGGTCATTTCAAAATCAACTTCATTTTTTTTAAAGAAATTATGTAGTTTTTTAACAAATCGATTTCTCTGTTCATTCTGCATATAAAAATACTAGAATAAATTCATTAAAAAGTTAATATTTTTCGATTTTCTCAGCATAAGATATGAAATATCTCATAAAGTATTTCTTTTCGATGATCTTATTTTAGTACTTTTATACTCAAAATAAACAGAAAAATCAATTTGTATTAAAGAAACTATATGATTCCATTAAAAAAGAAATTGACCTTGCAATGGCCTCGAATTATTGATTATACAAGTTAAAGTCACCAACTTATACCCCCCTCTCCCTCTCCCAAACCCTACAATTTTTGTTTTGTTCGAAACGTTTCTTTCTATTTTTGTTTTATTTCTTTTACATTTAGATTTTAAAGTTAAGTGACTCACTCTGTATATAATCGAAAAATAAATATTGTTAGGATTGAACGATTTTTGCTTTGATAATATAAATAACATGTTTGCCTCTATATGTATTATTTATATTATTAAAGTCGAAAATTGTCTAATTCTAACAATATTTGTTATTCGATTTATATTTTGCAGATATTTTTCATTAGTTTAGCACTCAATACTCTTTATAAATTCTAATCTAATCATAATCCTTTCCATTACCTGTGGTAAAATGTGATAATGATTCGGTAGTATAACCTGAGGACATTATAATGAATCCTAATTAAGATTCTGATTACCACACAGCGTGGTACCACACATGATCTCTTAAGACCCAATAATACAACTTTAAATGGACCTGATAACCTGTTAATGTCAACATGAGCTGGACCATGGAGTAAATTTCTAATCGGATTTACGAATTCACCTCATGTCGAGTTCCAAAAAAAGTCCGCTTTCAACAGTTATACAAATATACAGAAATCTACCACGGAAGACTCTGCGAGAGGAATTACAAGTGCCGTGAATAATAAGCACAGAGGCTTGCAAATGTAAATTTTTAATAAAATCACTCAAGGACATCGCACTTACGGCGCTTCCCCCGTCATCCCAACTGCCGAGCCCGGATGTATATCTCGCGATGCCGGATAAACGGAGTGAATCATCCCACGTTATCTCACCACGACTCCCATGGCCGTATGTAAATCCCGAACGACTTCCGAACGCCCGTACGACGGGCGTCGTGCCCGCGCATGCCTTCGCGAGGAAACAAATTCCGCGGGCGCTGTTTCGCAGGA